TTTAAAGAAAAGAAAGATTTTTTGAGTGAATTCAGTTTGAAGTTTAGTGTTTTCTTCTATTTCTGATGTAATTGGAAAGTTGGCTAACCAGTCAAATACAGGTTTGTTTGGGTTAGTAGTTTGATCTGAGTTAGTATTCTGCTGATTTAGATCATCTTGTTGAGTTGTATTTTGAGTTATATTTGAAGAGGTTGAGGATTGGTGTTGTTTATTTTCTGTTAGAGGTTGTTGTAAAGAAGAGGTATTTTCTGTCTGTGGTAAAAGAAGTTTAGCTGTTGTGTAGTCTAGCTGTTGAGATTGATGGAGGTTTGTATTCAGTTCTTTTTGATGTGTAGTAGTGTTTTGGTTTGATTATACTTGAGAAGTGTTATTGTTAGTAACGTTAGAAATAGTAGGTTGTGTTGTTTGAACCTTACGGTGTCTAGTAGTAGTTATAAGTTTACTAGTAGGTTGTGGTTGTGTTGTAGATTGTTGTGTTTCTAGTGTTGATTGTGCTTGAGTATTTGATGTTTAGGATAGTAAAGTTGATTGTCGAGATAATTGTTGTTGGGTAGTTAAAAGATTGTTATTATTAAAGGATTCGTTATCTAATTCCATTGCTGAGGTTTCTTTTAGAGAAGTTAGAGGGCTAAGTTCTGAAGCCAAGAGGTTAAATGTACGGAAATTGTAAAGTGATTGTTTAAGTTTTGAAAAGAACTCCATATCTTTAAAGAATCCATGATGTGGATCTGAGGTATTTTCTACACAGGATTTATGGCATAGTTGATCATCGTATAGTATGGCATTATTTGCTAACTGGTATCGGTTGTTATTAACTTTACAGTTAATAGATTGATTACAAAATGGGCAGGTATGTTAGTGTAGTGTAGGAGATGGGGAAGAAGTTGGAGAAGGAGGAACCATTGCAGTAGCATCAGCGATTTTAAAAGCAAGTTTTTCTTTTCCTTTTTTACTAACAATTTGAATATTAGTAGGTTTTTTATAAGTTTTATTTTCTTTCGAGATAAAGTGAGTATGGTATTTGTTGCATAGACATTTGATAATAGATGTAGTTGCTGGAGCTTCAAAGTAATGGCAGGTTTTAGTTACTTTTCTAAGTTCTGTAGAGAGGCATTCAGTAGGTTTTTTATTTGTCGGAATAGATCTAAGAATATTAGAAGAATCTTCATAAATTCTAATACCGAAGCTATTGTGATAAGTATTATAGAAATAGTCAAGATCTACAGTATCTGGATCTATAGTAGTTAAGGTAGGCATTGTATCTAGAAGTTTGCTTAAGGACTTCTGATTAAAAACTTAGTAAAGTTTGTTTAGTAAATTTTAAAATTATAGAGTTAAAAAAAATTGTTCCTAAGTAAATTATAAAAGTAGGGATATTATAAAGAAATGGTTGCTAAATTTGAAGAGAAAATAAAATAAGCTTCGAAATGATATATTTTTTATAATATATCTCTTAGAAAAATTTGAGAATATAGGTCTATAATGTGTAAAAACTTGTTACAAGAGTGTTATATTTACAGGGGTATTATTATAGTTACTGCAGCTCATGTAACCTTGTGTAATCTAGGAAGTCTAAGGTTGCACAAGTCACATATTACACAAGTTACATATTACACAAATCATGTGTTAAACAAGTTGTACAATGGGGTAAAATTTAGGTAATGTTACTAAGTTAATTATAAAATAAACAATAAATGCAGTGCAGTAATTAATTTGTGTAAATTAATTGTAAAATAGGTTGCCCAAAAAAGGATTGATTATGTTTCTAGTATGGTCAGGTGTAAACAAATTGGAAATACAGGTCCGAATGTTATACAAAAAACGATTTTAATGGGAGTAAACTAGGAAGAAACTTTTTAAGAATCTAAAGAGTAAGAAAGAGAGTTTTGATATTTTCAATTCTAAAATGATCAATTTTAGGTCAATTTGATGTACTATAGCTTGTTTTGAAGCTAGAGATAAGCTCTACAGATTCAATTATAAGGTATTAGTATATTATTAAGCCCAGTTTGCCAGAAAGGGCAAAACTTTGAGATGAGAACAGAGTTTTATCTATCTGTTCTTGTAAATCAAATATCTCAAGAACGATGAGAGATACAGACTTGAAACTTTATAAATATATGTAAAAACAGTAGCTAAACAAATGTTATTAAGAGTCAAGAGGTTGTTAACTTAATAGAATTTTCCATAAATTGAGAAAAACGTGAAAATTGTTGTGACGAAATTTTGTGTACAGATGATAAGCAGAAAGAGTTATATGTTTATATGATATATAGTAATTTCTTATTTTTTGTAATAATGACTTTTTATAGGATATTACAAAAATCAGTTACACGATCACTTTTTACTTTTATATATTTATTCAACTTATTAGAATTTATTTGATTATCGTTACAAATTCTAATTCAATTCAAATATATAAAATGTATTTATATCCGAATTTAAATCTTATTTAATACACATATAAAAATTTGAATTTAATGCTATCAGAGGTGTTTTTGTTACGTCCACTTCAAATTTTGGAAGCTTTTTTGCTTGTTCAAAATCTTTAATGTTATCTACCATTTTTTGGATAGGTTTAAAGTTCAATTCAATACTTGAAGCCATTTTTTAGGAAAATTATTAGACTTTTTAAAACAATAAAGTGTCTAAAACATAATGATAAAAAAAATTTTTTTTTATCTGAGTTTTTCTGTACTTTCTTAAAATTTCAAATTCAGATTCACTATCTTCAGTAATCGATTTCTTATTATCTATATTTTTGTTTTTTTAAATTTACTAGATCAATTATTAAACTAACTTTGTATAATCAATTAAAGCCAACATTCAAGTATCTTTTCATAAAGTTTTTTTAGCTTCTATAATAAAAGAATATTGAAAATTTCATTGTACCTAAATTAATATAATGTTAGAAACTTTTAAACTATAATAATAACAAACCTTCCAAAAAAATGATGTATCCATCTTCTCAAATAGATCAACAAGATGTTTGCATAATAAAAATCTGGTTTTAAAAAATAAAAATCATCTTGATACTGATATAACCTAATTGAATATCTGTTTGATATCAGGTTCATAATATAAAATGTATACATATATACAGACAAATTCAGTTAATGATATAACTAAATCCAAATATATATTACTAGATTAAATATGAATTATCAGATAATGTGCTAAATAGCATTTATCTAGAAATTCCAAGAATTCATCCAAATATAACTAGAAATCTCCTGAATACATAGTATAATTATAATACATCAGTTCAAAAATGGCATAGTCAAGTAGTATAAACCTAAGTATACAAATAATAAGCAACAGAATATACCCATATATAGTATATAATTTATTTGGCTTAAAACAGAATTGAGATAAAATATGTATCAAAATGCAAAACTAGTTATATTGTATATATTTTCTCATAATCTTTTATTAAGATTTATAATTGAAAATTTTTATTTTACATCCCATAATACATAAAATTTTCAGGATTATGCTCTTTTTATGTAACTCTGGGTTACAAGTGACATAATTTTAACACATTAAACAAAGTAAAGCAGCTGTTAAAAATACAAAAAGTCTTCGGTTCTTATTCTATACAATAAATTAAAAATTTAAAATCAGAATTAGAATGTATAGTGATTAGGCAGTCTTAAAAATTTTTGTTTTTTACTTTGCACCTCTTATCAATGCATCATGATAAATAATTTAGAAAAAATTACATATAATAATAAGGGCCTGAAAAAAAATAATTATAAATAAGGACCCAAAGCAAAAATAATTACATATAAGGGTCCGAATTTTGAAAAACATTATAATCAAAGGTCCAAATTTATCATAATTAATTAGATTAAAAGTTTTTAATATATAAAATATATAAATATAATTTTTTTTTAATAGTTAAATGTACTTTCAAACTCTTTGCTAGCAAATAATAAAAGATTTAGATTTATCAGTTTAAAAAAATTAACAAATCAGGTTTTCAAGCATTCTTAATAATATGAACTTCTGTCGCTTTTAGAAAAACCATGTTTATTAAACACGAACGATATAAAATATGTTTAATATTTGCTACCTATTCGGTTAATAAATATGCTTGATATATATTAAATATTGTATATAAAAACTATAACTAATTTAACTTTCTCTTTACTTTATAAATACAAATGAGTTTTTTGTAGTTCTAAATATCTTAATATATAGTAACTTTCACTAGTTTTTGGTATAGGATAGATATATTAGTTTAGAACAGAATAAATGTTACAGGATTAATAAATATTGTACTTTACCTAATCGAATTGAATCTTGGTAAAAAGTAAATTTCATTAAGCGAAAGGATATATAGTAGTATAAAGTAATTCTGTATATACTGTGATAATATTCAAAGAACAATTATTATTATAACTAGAGTTTGTAACTAGAATAATTTTTTAAATCTGAATTTATTTAATAAGTAATCTTTAGCTTTGAATTGTTAAATTAAAATTCAACAATTGCTTTATTGGTCAAATTCAAAAAATGACGATAGTAAAATTAAATAACATTATTATATCTATATACGTATATACACTCTGTAACAAAAATATTCGAGTATTGTAGATTTGGTAGATTGGGTTTTGTATATAAATTTAAATCGAATCTAAAGAAATTCAGATTTAAATCTGAAGACCGAATCCAATTCCAAATTCTAATCATAAAGCAAAATTATTTTGGCTCTTAATTATAAAATTTCTCAAAATTTGAATCCTATATCACTTTGGGCCCTTATCTGCATAATCATTTTAATTTTTAGGCCCTTATATGCAATTTCTCCAATAATTTATATATTATAATGTGAGTATGACTGTATAAATACATATAAAAACCTTAAATTATTTGTTAGTAGCATAAAATTTACAATGCAAACCTTTCTAGCCACATCTAAGTTCAACAAAAAATATATGTAATCAAATCTCGAACACAAATATCAACATTTTGTTAATGCCTATATTTTTTATAAAATGGCATTAACTAAAACACCAGATGCAAATAAAAATGAGTTATATAAAGAGGTGGCAACAAAATGGCATTCAATAAAAAAAAAAAACAATAAGGATATCGAAGCAAAAATAAGAGAATATTTAAATACTCCAGTACAATTATATAGTTGTATTACAGCTCCTACATCCTTTGGGCAGTCTTTTTAATCTCCTCAACTTCCTTCTAGCAATCTACAACAACAATGAATCTCTTTTATAATTGAACCGGAACTAGAAAAACCAATAGGTAATAATGCAGCAGTACAAAAGAATATTTTTGAAAAAATTAAAAGTTTAGAATCTGACTTATCGGAATTAGAACAAATGATCACAATAACGACTAATCTTCAATGCCATAACTCCCTTCGCTCTCAGATAATTGAAACTAAAAAGAATATTGCTGAAGAAGAAGAACAGCTTAAAAAACTCAAAAGATATGCAGCTAGCTAACAGAAATCTCAAATAAAAAAATTAAAAGCACTTAATGAAGATGGCATTGTTGTAAGATATAACTTTCCCGGTCATCTGCCTCTTCTTTTTCAACATTTAAATTTTCATGATCAAATTCACAGTTATATAGAATTTGGAGAAGCTGATGCATGGAGAAGATGTAAAGTTATTAAAGTTAGGACTGTAGAGAATCTCCGAACTACCTTAGAAGAAAACTATAATATATATATGTTCCACACCAGTATGAAAAATTACATTTTATTTCGTTCAAACTATAGCTTGGCAGCTAGAACCTACCACCACCCCGCTTTCATTGGAATTGCTGGCATTTCATAAAATGATAAGAGGAACTATATTAATGAGAATTACTGTCTTGCATCTGTAAAAAATGCAAAACAATTTGCTGTAGCTTTTGATGACTTCGCTGTGATGCTCTCACAAGATGACAAAGCAAAAGTTCTAGTTGGTATTTCAGCAGTAGGAAGGCATTTCAGACTATACAATCTATTAATGAACCAGTATCTGTTTCAGATCATACTATTGGTATATTTAATAATAGATTCTAAAGAATCAAATAAATCTTACAAAATAGCCAATTGTTGATCTTTATTAGAGCTCAATAGCATCTTGGTTCAACATTGGCTTCACATGTAACAGACATAGTATCTTTAGTTACTAACAACAAATTTTCTGCAATTTTTAAGTATGACAATGAGGTCAAGCCCCTATGGATTATTATTGTAGATGGTGGACCTGATGAAAATCCTCGTCATTTAAAAAATATTAGTTAATATTGCAAGTTATTTCGATTTCTAGATTTAGATTATTTTACAATTAAAACATACGCACCAGCTCAATTAGTATACAACCTGTTGAGAGAAGTATGGTTATACTTTCAGGTAGGGCTGCAAAAGATATCATAATTTTAGTAAATTTCAGTAAATTAGTTTGTGTAATTTTAAAAAATAATTATAGTTTGGAATTATATATTTAAATACTATATACCACTTGCTTACAGTATTTTTCAAAATAATATCTCCATAATTAAGACCTAAAAATATCTTCTCAAAAAAAGGATCTGGTTCATTTTACCAAGAATCAATTTGCAATTTACTAACAATCAATTCACCAAGTTTATTTTACCAACAGTATGATTCATTGACAGTACAAATTCTAACCTAACTCTAATGACAATGATCAAAATTACTTTGCCAGTGAAATGACTTATACTGTCAGTAAAATGAAATTTTCAGTAAATTGATTATTGGTGAATCATACTGTCAATGAATTGATTGTTAGTGAAATGAAAGAAACTAAAAAAATTATGTGAAATTCTTAGATATAATATAAAGATACCTATGCTATATTAATTGATTTTTATTAATGGTATTCTTGATTTAAAAATAAATTGCTGAGTATAGTACTCAGATACTAACTTGGATTTTGCCTGTAAATGGTTATATTCAGGGTATTATGATCCATGCTGTATAGTATTAAATTAAATTTTCGAATAGAACCCGTATATTGTAAGTAGTAGCATGTAATAAAAAACTTAATTTACTGAAGCTTATATAAACTTATATAAATTTGTGTATATTATAAGATTGTAATTTTCATAATACAACTCTATTTTTAGGAAAACTTGCAAGAATTATATTAGAAATCAATAAGTTTAAAAATCATTTAAACTCACAGAGCGAAATTTGTAATTATGAATTGGGACTTTGTAACTTTCAACATGCTGGCCAAACTCTCACCGATTAATGGAGAAGAGACCCTATTCACAGAAAACCTATATATATTGAGTACATTGATAAAGAAAGCAATCTATGTATTGAAGTTGAATTCACAATACCAGAAAAAACAAATACACCAAGTTTAAAATAGGATAATTCATCTGTGCCTTGGTTATAGATCGAGTCTCACTATCAAATTTGTAAATACTCTCTTAATATTAAAAAGTGCAATGATTTGTCATGTTGTACTCCAAAATGAGCTAATGATGCCACTGCATTTCTAGATGAAAATAATAGTTTTTTACCTCCAGTAATTAAAGGGAAGGATAGCTATTATCTTAACTCCATATATATGACATGCTTTAATACTTTAACAATCTAAAAATTCCTGCATATAATATGCATCTTCTCTCTCTTTTATCTGACGATCACTCAAGACAATGCTGTAAATTATATGATAAATACTTCACTACAATGGCCATGCTTGCAAAGTACAAAAAAACTATTCATTTCTGTACATGAACTTGATATTCAAATCAGCGATCTTAAACTAATTCGGCAACTTTTGATGATTTTTTCTGTTATTCTTATTGTCTGAAGCTTGGCCACAGGTTGTAATCATGCAGTCTCAATCCCTTTCTAATATTGAATAGGTATTTTAAATACAAAGATTAGAAACTGATTATACTGTAAAAATAAACTTTCTATATAAAATGTATAAAACCTTATATCTGTTAGGTACAGTTAGGGATGTTAAAAGTTTGTTCAGTTTAATTTGACTTCAATAAGTTGAGCTTTTATTAAAGTTCGTTCCAAATCAAACTTAGAACTCTACTCGTATTTGCACGTATTAAATATAATACAGAAAAAAAATGTTTATATGCAAAGTATGCATAAATATACATTTCTGTAGCTATATTTAAATATTCAAGATGCATATACAAATGTGAGTCGAGTTCTAAGTTTGAACTTTAATAAAAGCTCGATCTATTGGAGTGAGTTGAACTGAACCGAACTTTTAACATCCCTAGATATAGTATAGCAGTATGTAACATAGAAATTCGTATAATTTCTAATGCTGATTACATTGGAGGGGTATAGGATTATATATACACTAGAGGGAGTATAAGATAATGATTAGGTTATACACATACTAGAGGGTGTATAAGATAATGATCAGATTATACACATACTAGAGGTGGTATAGGGTAATGATCAGATTACACACATACTAGAGGGGGTATAGGATAATAATCAGGTTATACACACCCTATAGGAGGTATAGGATAATAATCAGATTATACACATACTAAAGGGGTATAGAATAATGAACCTCTGTAGTGATAATTGAATCTAATAGTATATGCGTATATACCAAAAATTTAGGGTTCGATTAATGTGATATTTCCATATTCAGGGGCCCTGTATATAGAGTAAAGATCAGCTATTGACCAATAAATTACAGTATAAGTTACTTAGTAATACATTTCTTTAAGTTTTTAAGTGTCATTTAAAACATATAAATCAAAATAGGAAAGATAGTTCACTTATATGTAAAAATATAAATTTTTTACTAGTTATTTTAGTTAAACTGAAACTTAATAACTCTCATGATTATTCAAATAACTTTTTTTACTAGTGTTTTTTTCAATATTTACTATACAAAAATAATTTAAAGATAACTGGAAATGTTTTTGTTTAAGCTGTTTTGTTGTGTTAAATTTAAATATACTTTTATTGCTAACTATTTAGTTTTTTTAGTAACAAGAGATCTGAATTTATGTTTAGATTTGGCAGTTTTTGTAATATGTTGGTTTGTTAATTATAAACTTGTATGTAATTTGTCGCATTGCTTTGAATATAACTATTTACTTTTCATTTAGAATATAAACATCAAAATGGTGGCAGTATATATTTTATTAGTTATTATATAGTTTCAAATTAAGAAGCTTATAACTAATTTATATAATTGCAGTTGTAAGCAAAGCTTGAAATGTGATATAGAACACTAAATTTTTGTAGTATAGCTGAGTTAGTTATGCAAATAATAAAATGAATAAATTAGGTGGTAGAAATTATTATAGTATTAAATAAAATATTTTAAATACTAATAAGAATAAAGCAATAGTTTAAAATTCAATATCAGAACTAAAATAAATTATTTCAAAAAAGTATTAGGAATTAATTGTAGCTTAATAAAAGTGAAAGAAATTACATAATAGTAGATCAATATTTAAGTTTTTAAAAATGCGAGCAATACTAAATGCATTTATCTATAGAGCTATTGTACTTCCGACACAAGGTCGAATAACAGATAGAGCAATTAATGAATCATTATACTCTGAATAAGTTAGGAGTATAAACCATTCAATGCTAGCATGGTTTAGATATTACACCACTCCATATTATTGTAAAAGAAAAACTGTGTGGTTTATATTCTAGAGTTACTGCTAATACTACTTCAGATTAAGAATATAAATAATTTATTGCTAATTGCTATGCATTGAAAATGAAATTTATCAAGCTAATTAACATTGTAGTATTCGATAAAATTGTTCTAGATATTAAAATACATATGACAATTTAATAAAATAATTTTCAATATGCTATAAAATTTAATCCAGAAGTAAATTATGAAGTGTGAGACTATAAGTATACAATGAACTTTTTATCACTAAATCATATCAATTGAAAGGATTCCAAGTTCGGTGTGATTTTAATGTTTATTTTGGTCTATAGCTTTTGCACCATTTTCTTTCCAAGGACCTTCTAACAAAATAGAAAAATAAGTATTTTGATAAAGAATTATTCTGTATAAATGATAATTTTTATTTAGAGTATGCTCTATGTCACTCTAGATCGCTCTATTAACAGCACTAATGACAAAACTATAATCATAATACTGTAAAGCTATCTTAAATAAACCACGAATAAATAAAGTAATTGAATCCTTAAATAATATTAAAAAAACAATTTTGAACTTATTAATTTTCAAGATCCCAAAATATAAAACTACTTACTAAACGTTCTTTATATCTAAGTAAAGCTTCAAATGTCGTAATTTATTATAAAGTTACTATATATTTAAGCTTTTTTTTCAAATAGTTTTGCTTTGTAAGTTAATTAAAAGCTTAAATATATATATTTATTATACATTCCTAATTTCTTAGCTTAAAAACCATCTCTAAGCAAAGTGTATCTAAAGTGAGTGAATTCCAAAGAGTGTTAGAGGAATTAACTAGGTGGCAATAAAAACTACGAGTT